GGGACAGGAGAAGCAGTGGGCCGAGGAGAGGCAGCGGGCTGAGGAGAGGTATGGGGACAGCAGGGATAGGGGGATGGGACAGGCAGGGAGAAGGAGGCCGAGGAGAGGCAGCGGGCTGAGGAGAGGCAAGGGGATGGCACAGACAGGGACAGCTGGGGATGGGGTGGCGCATATGCAGGGGGCTTGTTACCACGCACACACAGGGTTACCTGTACAGGCATATCTGTGAACATGTGGGCACTGGTTCGTAGGGGCCTGCGAGCATGGGTGTGCACATGGCAACATGGGCTTGCATGTGAACACGGGTACGTGTGTCTATGCACTTGCAGGTTTGTGTGTGGGCACGTGTGTGCTCAGGACACCCCAGAAGGAGGTGGGTGGAGTCTCTCCCTTCTCTGTCTTGGCTGTGGCTTGGCCTCCATCAGGTGTCAAGAACCCCACAGTTCCTGCTGAACACACTCACGGATCTGTAGAGACAAGCCGACTGTCTAGGCCACTTTGCAATTCAGCGTGTAGGTTGAAGCGTCTGAAACAAAGTGAAGGAGATAATAGATGAAGGTAGCCAGGTTTCACCAACAAAACACCCACACGGCCTTGTGTCATGTTGTCGCTGTGGGGTCAGCTGTGACTCGTGACCCTGTGTGGTGGTTCTGAGGAGCAGCCGGTGGGTTTGAGCACCAGCCTTGTGGTTGGCAGAGCAGTGCTACACCAAGACTCCTCCTGTGGCACGTTCACGTTCAGGGTCTCTGAAGTCAGGGTCCCGTCCTTTCATTGTGGTTTAGGTTCTCAAGGGCAGGCTCCAGGTATGATTGTCTACCCCTTTGCCTCATTGTGATTTTCACGTAGAAATGTGGAAGTGGCGCTTGGGTTGTCCGGAGTCCATCCCCACACAGCGTGCTCCCACAAGTCAGTGGAACTTCCCACGGGGCTTCTGACGCTGCCCTGTTTAGGGGTGCAGACCACCAGACCTTTCTGCCTTCAAGCTGCAGGGTCAATTCTCCCTGACCACTTTTTGTGGGCCAGGAAGGTTCCTATTTTAAAAAGTAAGGGGCCCCCCGTGGGGGGGGGGGGGGGGTAGGTAAAAAGGGCTTGTGAAGAAATAGTTCGTGATCTTCCCTGTGCCCTCCTCACCCTCAGTGTGAAAGAGGAGAAATTCCTCGAGGTCCGTCACTTGCAGTTCGGTCTGCACATCTCCGGTTGGCACGGTCATGCCTGCGTGTGCTGGTCTCGGGCACTCTCCCTGCTGTTGACGTATCCGCCCGTCTCTACGGCCCGTCCTCGTCCCTATGGGACAGTCTTTGTGTGACTGTGCAGCTGACTTAGCCCTCCTGTGGGTGTGTGTTCTGTTCCACTTCCCACGACTCTTAGAGACTGTCCTCGTGGGCGCATGTATGTGAGTAGCTTTCGTGGTGTTATGCTGAGAGCACCAGACTGGGATTTCTGTGTCCTAATGACAGTTGTGGTTGGGCTGGCTCACTGGTAGAATCCTCTCCTTCCATACAAGGGACCCCGGTTTGATTCCTGGCCAGTGCACTTCACACACACAGGCCCGGTCAGACTCTCTCGGGGAGGCCTGTGTGGCTGTTTCAATGGAGCTTCCAAACAGAAAGGCACTAGGAGAAAAGGGCTGGCAATGTCTATGAAAAATCAGCCGATGAAAACCTAATGGATCGCAATGGTCTGATCCTAGGGGCAACCCAGGAATGGGTTCCGTTATGTTCCCCCAGAGGGGGGCAGGCTGTCAGCTCACAAGGGGAAGGACTCATGGGAACAACCCCAGAAGTCGCTGTCAAAAGCTGTGGGGGCGAGTGCGTCCCACCTGCAGCTTCCGCTCCGCACACGTGGCTCCTCCGTGGTCACTCACAGCCCTGCACCCACTGACCACGGTTCTCTGGGTGGCCACAGCTCAGGTCTGCTTTTGTGTCTGTGTCTCAGACCATCATGAGGGACTTTTGGCCTTGTTTGTGATGCGTGGGTGAGCAGGGACCTTGTGAGAGTGTGTGTGTGTGATACGTGGATGAATGGGGACCTTGTAAGTGTATGTGTGTGATGTGTGGGTGAGTGGTGACCTTGTGTGTGTGTGTGTGTGTGACGTGTGTGTGAACGTTTTCCGGGCACCTTCTTTTCCCACTTAGGATTCAGGTACAGTTTGTGCCCTGACTGGACTGTATTCCCCCCACTTGTTCCCTGGGCCCTGTATCTGCCTCATCTGGGTCTGGGTTGTCTGAGCTGAGTTGTGGGTACACACTGTCCTTGCCGGCTCCTGAGGTGGGCGGTCGGTTGGAGGAGCGTGTTCAGGGGTCTGACCGCTTTGTAGGTATGGCAGTGAAGGCCGACTGGGTCTCCCTGGGCCCTTCCGTGTTACTCCGGCTTTCCTGGCTTCTCATGTTGGACTCTTTGCCTTTCCCTGCCAAGGTAGCCGGGTGAGGTTTGAACGGTGTGAGGGCTGTGGGCTCACCAGGTAGGATCTGACCACCTCAGGGTGTCCCTGGGCAGCAGCCCCGATTCCCTAGGACGTTTGGGTGTATGTCTGGGTCAGAGGAAGGCGGCAGGGTCTGAAGGCAGGCTTCTGGAGGGTTACATGTGAGCTCAGGGCTGTTGTTGCTGCTTCTATGGGTGCAGTCTGTGTATGTCCCCCTGTGTCCCGCCACCCCCACCCAGAGCCCTGCACCCCTCAGCCCCCTGCACCACTACCACACGCTTGTCCTGTGTGCTCCATGTCCAGGCGGGCGCCCGTCAGTCAGGACCTTTAGTCCTGAGCCAATGGCTAGTATTCAGCCCTGCCTCATTGTGCCCCGCACCTCTCGGCCCTTGGCCGCTCAGCCTGTGTCCCTTGTCACCACGTGTCCTGCACCGCCCAGTCCTCGTCACCACATGCCCCACACCTCCTAGCCCTGGCCCTCTCAGCCTGTGTCCCGTCACCACGTGTCCCGCACCGCCCAGTCCTCGTCACCACGTGCCCCACACCTCCTAGCCCTGGCTCTCTCAGCCTGTGCCCCTTGTCACCACGTGTCCCGTACTGCCCAGCCCTCGTCACCACGTGCCCCACGCCTCCTAGCCCTGGCCCTCTCAGCCTCTGTCCCGTCACCACGTGTCCCGCACCGTCCAGCCCTCGTCACCACGTGCCCCACGCCTCCTAGCCCTGGCCCTCTCAGCCTGTGCCCCTTGTCACCACGTGTTCGCACTGCCCAGCCGTCACCACGTGCCCCACGCCTCCTAGCCCTGGCCCTCAGCCTGTGCCCCTTGTCACCACGTGCCCCACGTCTCCTAGCCCTCACCCGCTCAGCCTGTGTCCCGTCCCCACGTGTCCACACTGTCCAGCCCTCACCCGCTCAGCCTCTGTCCCATCACCACGTGTCCGCACCTCCCAGCCCTCGCCCGTTCAGCCTGTGTCCCGTCTCCCCACGTGCCCCGCCCGCCCGCTCAGCCCCGCCCCGCCCTGTGTCCCCCGCAGGAAGCAGAAGGAGTTGGAGGCGCTAGAACGCGAGCGGAAGCGGGAGGAAAAACTGCGGCGGCGCGCCCAGAAGCAGCGGGACCGCGAGGTGCGGCGCAGTCAGAAGAAGCTGGAGCGGCTGCAGGCCGAGGAGCAGAAGCGGCTGCAGGCGAAGATCCGCTCGGAGGAGAGGAAGCTGCTGCTGGCGCAGAGGAACCTGCAGTCCATCCGCCTCGTCGCCGAGCTGCTCAGCCGGGCCAAGGTGAGTGCGTGAGTGCGTGCGTGCGCCTGCGCGGCCCGGCACTCCGCGGGAGGGTGTGGCCTTCACCGCGAGGACCGGCGCCTGCGTTAGCTTCCCCCCAAGTTCAGCCCGTTACACCGGGCAGCCCCGACCCCGCTCATGGGCGGCTGTCCCCGCAGGCCGGGAAGCTGCGTGAGGCCGCGCGGCAGGAGGAGCGGCGGCGGCTGCAGGAAGCCGAGCTGCGGCGCGTGGAGGAGGAGAAGGAGCGCGCCTTGGGGCTGCAACGCAAGGAGCGCGCACTGCGGGAGCGCCTGCTCAGCATCCTCCTCAGCCGCCAGTCCGGGGCCGCGCCGCGCGCGCACGATGACCTGCTGCGACCCGTCCTCGACATGCTGCAGGGCGTGTCCGCCGGCCGTGCGCCCCCCGGCCCGCCCCCTGAGCCCCCGGCCCCGGCCCCGAACACGCTGGCCGAGGACAAGTCCTGCCCGGGCGTGCTGGCCTGCATCCCCGACAACACGCCGCAGCCCAAAGGCGTGCCTGCCGGAGGAGGTCCTGACTCTCCCAAGAGGGACACGCGCTCCCTGGTGGACAAGTGCAACCGCGCTCCCAGCCCCGGCCGCGCCCGCGCTAGCCGGGAGCGCACCACCGAAGGCCGGACGC